AGGCCAGGCCTTGCGTGAAACCTACTTCGCCCAGTCAGTGGCCGACCTAAGTCGTGGCTTTAGAGACTGACTAAGCATTGTCGGGGTGGAATGTGAAAAAAAATAAGCAATACAGATAATCACAGGATATTAGCCAATATATAATTCTGACCTTGTTTTCATTTGTCAAATTTGTAGATTGAAGGGCATCTTCAATATCTTTCAGAAGTTTAGAAGCAAGAGTGAAAACGGTGGTTTCTTTTTCTCGGTGTCTTGATGAGGAGAGAATTTGCAGCAAAGGAAGTATCAAAAAGGAAAGTTTCTGTGTGTCATCGCCACCTTTCGACAGGATGTAATGGGCCAAGTTTGAAGCTGAACGAGAACACAAGATATTATTTAAACAACATAGAATGCTGCTCTATATACGTCCCCCTAATCTACAGTATATATCACTTTGCATACTAGCATCGTTGGCGTAATTAACATATTTTGCCTAATCAAGACCAAGATCAGTGACTAGCTACATCAAGATGTGACTAGCGGATCAGAACACTGCCACTGGCAGCGAACAGAATTCTCAGCATAGTGTGATTTCTGTCGAATAGTGCAGTCTGAGCACTTTATAGCATTGAAGGGGCAGATCATTTCAAAAAAACAAGACTCCTAAAGGCCGTTTACCACTTCAACCGTATCGTAGCGAAACGTAGCGTATCTCATTCTTTTAAAGTCATTAGTCCTGGTCGGAATACTCAATCTACGATACGATTTAAATGGAAAGCAGCTTAAGACATGAACAGCTATTCAGGATATTCTATTTCTTCCCCTTATTTTCTTACCAGCATGGATAAGTTCTTCAACATAATATCCCGAACAGCTAAGTAAAAGATGAGATATCAAAAACATGGTGCCATTCCCAAGTGGAATCTAGAAGTTGCAAAATAAATTACAGTTACCAATTGGGCAGCTAGTTTACGGGTGCGGGTGGACTGGACGATTCCCTTCCTAGATGTGACATAGATTTTCTTCATGTTCATAACTCACACATTTTAGTACAGAATTATAAACAGTCCAAAAATCGGAAGGCTTAAATTCCTGGTTTTAACTGGAAAGACACCTTGGGGATTCGAATTTCTCAAGAGCATATTAAAAAGGCACTCGGGGATTTAATTTGACAACTAGGAAACATTACCCATGGTTTTCTTAGCGTTATCTTCCTTAACAAAATAAGTGATGACATCATTGACATCCCAAGAGACAACTGTTTGTGTACCATTTCAATGAGGAGTACAGTCATTGCCTTCATATGATTGTCTATGGAGATGTAAAAATATTACATTTCAGTTGAATTTCGGCTCTACACATGGGGGTATATGTATATCCAGGTAAATAATAGATCATTGGTTTGATATATTCACGTTCAGTATGTTTTAATTTTATTTTAAAATAAATTGTTCTTGCAGGCAATGAACACGGATATGCGAATTTGCACCACCCCACCCCAAACCCAACAAAGCTGGCCGCCAAAATTGTTGATATTGTTGTATTGCGTGTACTCTCTTTTGAAAGCCTCAGGAACGAGTTTTAGAGTCTTTGCCCATGGGAAATCATTCAAAAATATTTTAATAATCCTCAGAGCCACTTTAAGTGAATAAAGGATCCATGTCCCCATGGCAGGGGTATGAATTTAGCCAAGTGCCCTTAATATGGCAGCATAGGATGTCAAATGGTTATGCTTTAAATTTTCAAGACCACTAAAACTGTATTTCATGGTAAACTGCAAGAGCTGGCAATGTTGGGGTTGAAATTGGGATTTTAGTTCCAAGGTCTCTTGCCAGGCAGACACAATATAACATATAGATAATTGACATGAACAACTGGCAGGGCAAAAACAACAGCTTACACCAATCTGTGCTACCTGATTTTTTAATCTAGATATTGCGTTAATATACATACACACATTCATATGCAAACACTTATACTTACTTAAACTACGTACCAGGGTACTAGAAATCTCAATAGTTTGCAATCTATAAATTTAAACTCTGAGAGCATCCATCTAAAATTAATCTATTTTGCCTATTAATTAAAGACAATTGTCAAAGGTTTTGTACATAATGATAACAAACATGGAAAGCCTGATGTTACACAAAGTTTGATTATCTGGTTAGTTTTGCCGAGCTATTAAAAGTAACATTAGGCTTTCCGTATTTAACATCATTGTGATTGCCCAAAACAACACAGTTTCATTCGCACATGTTATTAATGTTTCATAGTATGTTCACAATGGCAACATTTCACATGATAATACCAGCCGGGTATCTCATTCCCCTTCCAACCTGCACAACTTAAGCATGGCCTGTATTTTTGCCCATCATTCAGAAGATGAAGTCCAATTTTGCCACATGTTTACACCTGTGATGTGGTATCTCTTCTCCACCTCTTGCCTTGCCTTTTGCTTCAGGACAAAGGTATACAGGACACCATAATACATCAATCAGGTTCCCTTGTGCATCCCTTATTTCTTTAATCACATGATGCTCTTCTATTTTCAACATCTCCTTTATTACTTTCTCTTTACTTTCAAATTTCAAAACACCTGCTTTGTATTTGGGGCTTGTGCGAGCTGCATTCCTCTCTTGAAAACATTTCTTGTCGTTGAAGCGGCATCTTTCGTCTCGTGCAATTTTCTTTCATCCTCGGTGGTGTAAATGTTTTCCTTTTCACAGGGAATTTCGTGAGACACATTCGTATCGTGGTACGTTTGAATAATCGCGCCAAAACTATCCCGACGATTAACAATTGCCGCCTTCAAGACATTATTACATCGTGTGGTAATTCTACCTCCAAACATTACTTTATCCGTTGTAATTTCACTCGTTGGGAGGAAAGTATATGATGTCCAAAATAACAACTTGTAAAATAGGTCTTTGGCGAAAATATATTTGATTTACGAACTTCGATCCTTCGATCACTGTTCAGTTCAGTGTTTACACAGAGGATAGGAAATTACTGTGTTTCCACTCCTAATTCTCTTTTCCGCAGAGGTTGAACCACTGAGATTATGGGAATTATTATATATCGCTCAGTGGGTTCACAGTTAATAGAATATACATAGTTTAGAGACTACATTAGGGGGGAAGCGCATTGGAGTGTCATCGTCATCCCCACCGGCAAAATGTAGAATTCTAGGGCTTCTAAAAGTCTGAAATAGGTGTTCCCCCATGCTGGAGGTTGGGGTAACAATAATTTGAGAGCATCAAGTGGATGGAAACGGATATTTTATCTGGTCATCTTTCACTATAAGACAATCTCCCTCCCAAAAATTCTTATCGCGATCTCAACGTTTTCGAAAAATGGTTTCTTGAACGATCGCAACCGCCCTTTTTGCCCCACGCTGGAGCCGGTTGTATGAAAGTCGCATAGCGCTATCCACCAGGGGCCGGTTGTATGAAAGCCGGATAGCGCTATCCACCGGATAGTGGTTTTTTCAATCGCTTTAAAATCGCCCGTTGTTTGGTATAACTTTGATTAAATCTTAGTATTCCTAAATCGAGGATCCTCTTTAATAATTGTTGGTCAAATCTGACATTTTATTGCTTTTCAAGCATTTTTAGAACGGTTGAAAAAATCAATATCCGGTAGATAGCGCTATCCGGCTTTCATACAAACGTCCTTCTTTCAGGTGGCTAGGTCCCTAGTACAAAATGCAATTTTTCACGCAACTTCGAAGTGTAACGTTGAGAGGTGTAAATTTCGGAACTACAAAATTTTCGTGTTCATTACACTCCATGGACGTGAACCTGACGAGTCCACGTTTAATTTACGAATATTAACGTTTAATTTAGGAATATTAAAAAGTGTATACTACCGATAAAACACGAACAATTAGTCGACTATCACTATTCCTGCCTGGGTGCGCAGCTAGAACTTATCATTTGGTATGGTACCTGTACGGCTTTCAGATCGATTGAACAATAGCAGGAAATTTTTGGTTAGTTAGTGGTTAGTGATGACGAAATAACTAGTTTCGGTAACTATAGTTCCGATTTGGGACAGGTAAAGGTTTGCACAATCTTGTTTTTCGCTCAGTTGGTTATATGCATTCCTCGAGAAAACTTGTAATAAAAGTTTCGAACAAGTTTTCGTAACCCATCCAGCTGTCGAACATCTCGGTTTGTGCATCGTTCGCCTCGACAAAGCGGGACTGTTATGTAAGTTTATCTTTTACGATTGTAATTTAGTTAGTTAGCAGTTTATCCTGTATGTGTTAGCCATAGTAAGTGCATGACAAGATTGAGCAGTTTAGAGCATTTCTAGTGCATGTAATATGTATTCATAATCTGTATAGTTCATTATCCTTTCATTGAAGATATAGTTATAGTAGTTTTAGCTGGTATAGTAATTAGGAATGCATGAACTTAGTTTTTATATTTTCGTTATTTCAGTTTACGACAACTATAATCGACAATTTTAATGATCCTTGAGTAAGATCGTTTCTTGGTCAAAACTATTAAATTGTTGCCTGTAAATATATCCCAGAATTTGTTTCTTCGAACTCTAAACTCGTCGTGACGTATGGAGGAAGGTGACGGAGGTTCGTGCTATGGACAGTAATGCTGCATTGCAATTTGGCATTTTATTGATGGCTGAATTACTCGTCTGCCTCTATAACGTAAGCCCTTATGCTTATGAAAACACCTCAGTTCTAAAGATCCTGGATACGAGGTTATGTTTTAATACAATTATACAGGTTTTCCCTAATACCATTATTTTAAAGGCTCAAAAAACCTCGCTTTAACAAGCAATGCTTGGTGGTATAGTATCTTGTCTACGGTACATACCAAGTTTCTCACAGTTGTATTTCAAAAACCATCGTAATGTTTGATGACACAATGAAACACTGTGACCAAGTGATTCCATACTGTTCTATTAGATAAAATATTGCATTAATAGCTAAACGCTAAACGCAGCATTTTTTTCGCCTAACATACAAAGTTGAGCAATATTTTAAACTTATCAATTTACCTCACCTTGTAAAATCGAAGATGGTTAGTAATCAATTTCAAAATCCTATCGAATACAACTATATCTTTTCCCTCCATCATATCAGACGATATTTCCAACAACAATACGTGTAAACTTTTGCAAGCGGAGTAATCAGTTTTAGGGTTGAAAAAAACATGTTGGAAGAAAGCTTCAAATATTGCAACAAATGACGAAATAAACCTGTAAATACAAAATTAGCGATTATTATATAATTAAAATATCTTTCCCTGTATTTTGGATACTTTGATACTGTAATACAGTAGTTTGATACCAGATTGACTGATATTGCAAGAAAGGTTTAATAAACCAGTCCATTACGTCATTAGAATGGCATACCGCATTTATAAATATATTACGAGCCTATACCCTCTGTATGGAACTATGGAAGTCAATAAAATGATGCACAAGAAACATTTCAGGAGGCGCGTCTATACGTACGTATCAAAGGAACACTTTATGAGAACTAACGCTAGCGTTAAGATCAACTTTACAATAGGATCATTGTTAACAGCAAAGCTTGCTGTGTGGGCTGGGGGCTAGGGCGGATGCAGAGTGATTCATAACAAAATTTAACAAGCACAAAGATTTACGGAAAGGAATATACCGGAACATGGTACTTTCGACTTTGGTAAGGTCAAATATACCGGAATGCAATTTCGATCTTGATGATGTCAAATATTTGGGATGATTGATGGTAATTGTAAGGTCGAATGATCCGTGATATGGTGCATATATACAGGAATGTGGTATATATCAACTTTAGTAAGGTTGAATAAAACCACAATAAAAAAAAATTCATATAATATGAAGACACCTGTAGAGGTGCTGCAGCATAGTAGCATGGAGTAGGCACATTTCTTGGGACTCTACAGGTGTGCAATATAGCTTAACAATAAAGGTGTATATTTATTACACATTACACATGTCATAAAATATCCATCAAAAGATTACCTCTTATTCGTTGTCTGGAAAATATTTTCAACCTCTTGAAGAAGCATTGGCCATGACCAAGGACAGTTAGCCAATATCTTAGTATATGGATGCAGATTTGAGCTTAAAGGTAACAAAACAAAAACGTTGAGGTCTCAAACAAAAGAATTTTGTTTGGGAGTTACAAAGCATTAAAATTAATCAGTAAGAATGGGTAAAGAGATGCATACAGACAAATGAAGCAATTAAAAAATGCTATGTTTTTATTGTGTAATTGTATGAATTGCTCTAGCAAAACATTTTCACTTTCATATGTCAGTTAACCTATAACATTATCAATATTTACCTTCAATAATTTACTTTTCTCACTATAGTCGGCTACAGTAAGCCGTAAGGTTGTTCACGTAACAGTTTGAATGTGACTGCATCAGGTAAACACACTACCCACATACAGCATAATTTAAGGCTGGCCATTTAAGGGGCTTAAATTATATTTTGGAGAAAGCCTACTAGAATCATGCAGCACTGGTTCAAAAAATTATTGAGTATGGTACTTATAAATTTGATAGTCAGTGTACTAAATAAACATAAATATTGGCATATGGCTTTCTCTTAAAACTAATGCAGCCATAATTTACACACACAGTAATTTATGGTGACTCACAATGCATCGACTGATTGCGTAGTCAAGGTACCAGGTACCTACTACACTAAAAGTTACAATTACTAAAAGTGTTCCACTGACCTCAAAGTGTATGAGTCAACTTCTATAGTGGACTTCACTTGAAAACATAATAACTTTGTTACACCATGAATTGGTCCAAGGATATGCCTGAAATTAAGATAGGTAGGATCTTATAAATTTCAACACTTTAGTTAAAAGGCTGAGAAGTTCGCCATTTTTAATTAAATCTATATGTACCTTGTTGACAAAGTTTGAGCCACAAAACCATGCATGACATAGCTAAAATCCAAAACATTCTTCACAACCAGATGTACCAAAACATCAACAGCCGCAAGTGAAATAACACAACATGGATCACAGCACTTAGTCCACAGTTGCCCAACCTCTTTAATCTGTTGGCACTTTATCATAAAATATAAAACTTGCATAAACCTATTGGACCATTTTGTAATCATTTTCAAGATGCCATATCAAATTTATATATAATATATAAATTATATCTGTATACCAGGTATAAATTATATCGGTATAATATCTGTAAAGTGCCCTATTTCAAACCTCTTTATCTGACAAAGCATGCTTTCTAGACGTCTTTTTGCTCAATATGATAGGTAGAAGCTGCCAAACATCCTGAAAATATAATTAGGTTATGTAGTATACATATAACAAAATACCATCCTGTTCTGTCAAGCACCATGACAGTTCACGACTGATAAAACAATTCTGTGCTCCCCCTTCCCTTCGCACAATGTGTTGATGACAAAATAGCTAAGATAGTGTTTTAATTTCCACCGCTGCAGTTTGGTATATCACTTATACTTGTTTATTTAACTTTTTACAGGGGGCAGGGTCATTTTTGGGTGCTCATGCACCTATGGCATGCACACAAATTGTTTATATGCATGAAAATTTTCATATCCTAGCTATAAATTTGGTTTCTGAAGTGAGAATCTTTAAAAAAACTCTCTATAGAATAATCTGGCTTTATCTCCATTTTGGGGCAAGACCACCTATAGAAATACGAATTAGTTTCATCTATCTTTAATATAAGACATTTATATAGATAATACCACATTTGGATAATTTGGTTGAATATAGTAATCCTACTAATCCATATACAGCAAATTGTAGTACGGCAAATAGCTATTCAAATTTAGGCAGCATATAATTTTCCGCGTAAAATAAATCATACCTCTTAAAAATTCTCACCTGTTCTTGTATCAAATTGTTCGGTAACTCCATAATCATTCATCAGTCACATACAATTTTAAGACCTTTGCACTACCAACGAGCACTTTTAAGCGATGTTACATAACGTTTCGAAAGAGCGAAGATGACGCTGATTCGTGTGTGCCAGGGCGCTTCTTCTGTGCGAACATCTGTGATCTGTGATACGGAAAAAACGGCCAGACCGGTCCTGTTGTAGTTTGGTACAGACAGGTTACTGGTATTTTAGAGTGTTTCAAGAACTCTGCATGCAAATATATAGTTATTTACATCTGCCTAGCACGGGAAATGCATTTTCACCGCTATATATTCTCCGTTAACGAAATACTCTATTTAAATTTAAAAGTATGACCGGTCTGACCATTTTGGCCGCCAAATGGAAAGCACGCCAACATAAATTTCCATCATCTAATTTCCATCAGCTTTCGACTCGGTGCTTCTAGTCTTGTTCCGAATATCTAAATCGATTTACATTTGTCTAGCTTTATATATTTGAGTTTCGAGCTGTTCCGTTCAAGACTTAGCCTGCAACGCAGACTATATATTGGGGTATATATACCCCAGGCTATTCAAGACTCTGTATTCTTAAATATATAACGCTAGACACGTGTAGATAATCTAGATATTCTGAAGAAGACTCGAAGTACCTAGTCGAAAGCTCAATAAAAAACCATTTTTTTGTTTTCACATTTCTCTGTTTGACTTACCGTGATGATCGATTAAGCGCCGCGGCGCTTATTGCAAATATTGATTTAAAGACGTTGCGCTTATTTGACATCGGCGCTTACTCGACAGCGGCGCTTATTTCAAAGTGAGCAAATACACTATTTTCTGAAGGCCGATCAGCCGATGAATCGAATAAACTTTTGGTAGAGGCTACAGGGAAAAGAAAGAATTGTCATATGAGCCCGGTTGTAAGAGATATTCGACAATAAACCTTTAAAGTGTCAATACTGGCCGTCGTTCTCAAATGTTAGGATTAACGCGTTTAAATAAAGAATCGTTTATTTCTACATTTTTTGCGTCTATTTATGTCTTCCTAAATAGGCGCCGCGGCCCTAATTCAACAGCGGCGCTTATTAAATTTTTTATTCCGGTGCGGCGCTTATTCGAGTAGCGGTGCTTAATCGATCATTTACGGTATGCGTTATAAATTTGCGCAACTTTTTTTTAGTAGTTTCACCTTTAGATGAGATTAAATTATAATCAGACAGTCGGGTCAATTGCATAGAAAAATTGGACTCAGGTCCAGGCGATATCAAAGTGCATCAGGGGCAATGAGCATCGCGTGAAAGAAATATATGGTAGTCGTCGACAATAAACTAGGAACTACTACAATAATAATAAAAAAAAATAAATAGCGGCGATATTCAATCGAGCAGCATGAAAAGAACTGTTTATTTGTTCCTCTTGGAGGAATTGCCGTATCATGCGAGCGAAATCGAATCGTGCACGGGACGTAAATAAGTACGGTCACATACACATTACACACTTGCGACGATAAAAAAACGAGGCGAATTTTCAACTCCGTCGCTGGCGCCGGAGTAAAAATAAAAAATTGGAAAAAGGCAGTTTTATGGACGCTTCTTTGGCAAACGTGAAAGATAAGCTAGTCGTGGTAAAGAAGCTTAGACGGGAGAAACACAAGAAGGAAAGACATATATATTTATATAAGGAAATCACATATAAAAATCGTTTTCCTTTTTTCGCGTTTTATCCCCTCATCCGCATTTTCCCATCCGCGTTTTATCCCCTCATCCGTATTTTCCCATCCGCGTTTTATCCCCTCATCCATATTTTCCCATCCGCGTTTTATCCCCTCATCCGTATTTTCCCATCCGCGTTTTATCCCCTCATCCGTATTTTTCCATCCGAGTTTTATCCCCTCATCCGCATTTTCCCATCCGCGTTTCATCCCCTCATCCGCATTTTCCCATCCGCGTTTTATCCCCTCATCCGTATTTTCCCATCCGCGTTTTATCCGCTCATCCGTATTTTTCCATCCGCGTTTTATCCCCTCATCCGTATTTTCCCATCCGCGTTTTATCCCCTCATCCATATTTTCCCATCCGCGTTTTATCCCCTCATCCGTATTTTCCCATCCGCGTTTTATCCCCTCATCCGTATTTTTCCATCCGAGTTTTATCCCCTCATCCGCATTTTCCCATCCGCGTTTTATCCCCTCATCCGCATTTTCCCATCCGCGTTTTATCCCCTCATCCGTATTTTCCCATCCGCGTTTTATCCGCTCATCCGCATTTTCCCATCCGCGTTTTATCCCCTCATCCGTATTTTCCCATCCGCGTTTTATCCCCTCATCCGTATTTTTCCATCCGCGTTTTATCCCCTCATCCGTATTTTTCCATCCGCGTTTTATCCCCTCATCCGCATTTTCCCATCCGCGTTTTATCCCCTCATCCGCATTTTCCCATCCGCGTTTTATCCCCTCATCCGTATTTTCCCATCCGCATTTTCCCATCCGCATCTGCCATCCGCAATCCGTATCCGCGTTTTATCCCTACCCATACTTAAACTACGGCGTGACGTTAGTTATTAGAATACCGACTTCTTGAGAAAATAAGAAGAACTTCCGTGTTTTGAGCAAAGGGAAAAGACGTACATCCGGTAGTTTTGGTAGAAATGAACAAAATGATCTGGTATAGTGTAATCTTGACCGTAATGAATATAATTATATAGTTTACTTTCTACCGACACTGCATGCATTTTTCCATTTATTGGTCATATATTCACTGCAAATAAATATTAACATTTGATGAAAGATGCAAGTTATGGCTATTCAGTATTGTTTAAAAATTGACCTCATGCAGCTATGTTTAGGCTATACGCCACTGCTTTCGTTATTGTTTTACTTAACAGTGGATATCACAAACAGCTTAAAAAAGGTAACGTGATAAATGCGAATTGACACCATTATGAAAACCGATACGTTTGTTGCCAGCTGCAAGTTAATATTTTCAAATTTTGCAGCTAACTGTATAACTCTTGTAAACTTAATTGTGTCGTCTTTCAATAGTATTCTATTCCCTAACACTCTATTCATGCTCAGTTGGATTCAGGTATGGGTAAAAATGTAGGTCAGCGTAGTCTAAGCCAAAAAAAAAAATGGCTTAGACGGGTTCTGAGGACGATCCCGGCGAATTGGGTGGGTGTCGGGAGGGTCGCTCTGAACCTTACACTGCCAGTGTAACTGAGTAAGAAGGGAGTGTTCTAACCATGCTGCCTTATTTATAACAATCCTCCCATTCTATTAGGCACGTGACAGCTTCTCCTAACGCATTTCCGGCCTATTATACCTTTATCAGTCTTTGCATATCATTAAGAGTATTGTGAATAGTGGGTGGAAAAGCGCACACAAAACGCCGTAATTCATTGATATCATTCCACGATTGAACTGGTTCCTCCGAACTGCGAGAGGCAAGTCTAGCTGAAGCGGCTTGAGGGTTAAGCACCTTGGCTAACTGCATGTAATACACCGCAGTATGTCTTCTTGACCATCCGACGTGTTCCATGATTTCGGCCAGGTCGGCCCCTGAAAGCGCAAGCGTGATGGCACATCCTGCACGGAAACCATGGAGGGTCTCCCCTTGATCTGCATGCATCTCCTTCAGATAACCCTTAAGGCGCGCTTCGGCGGCCGAGGAACTCAGTGGTGAGTCTTGAATTCCCTTATTAGGTGCCAATGGGCGAAATAAGTAACCCCGCGTCAAGTCAATACCCAGCTGGCGAGCAAGGTCCATGTAACGCTCAATGGCTTGTATTGGGCAGATAACGCGTTGTGGATTACGCCTAATGCCAAAAACATTAGCATCGCCGTCGCGTAGGGTTTTGCCCCACACGTGATTAAATAGTAATCCATCGTCATTCGGAAATCGCAAGATCTCCGAAACCTTAATTTGTCCCAAATCCCCTGGCCTATCACCACTAAAAAACGCCATTTTGAAATACGCCTGATCCCTAGCTAGGAGAAAACGCTCAACCGAATCGGTAGAGGTCTGCAATTTGCGATCCAAATGAGTACAGAGTTGTGTTAATTTGTCCACAAAAATGGCGTAGCTTGCTTAGGGGTGATCCTGGCCTGCAATTGCTCTGCGGTGACTAAGCGGAGATAATCCTTCACAGACTTGTCTGCGGCAGGGTTGCCTAAACCCAACCGTCTGTCCCATTCCCCGTCGCGTCCTAACGAGTGGAAGATGGCACGCAATTTACCAATATAGGAATCTACTGTGTTATACGAGAGGCGGAACGGGCATGAACAACTAAATTTGCCTTTGAGTCCCAAATGCGGGCAACCATTTCGGTGAATTTGCGTTTTACCATTACGATCTTTAAATATAAGGAAACGGCAAATATCACGTGGGGTCACAGTGGTTACTGTGATGTGTCCCGGTAGGGACGACAGGAAAGACTCCAACTCTTTGCGTAGACTATCTTTTTGTTTAGAGTAGCTAGTTGCACGGTCGAAGCTCAATAACTGGTTAAGGCGATCGTCAATTTGAGCAAGATCAATTGGCACCGAAGAACCTGATCGTATCTGAACAATTTTCCTACGATAACCGCATCGTTGGCAGAATCTGAAGTCATGGTCGTTCGCATGGCTGCACGTTGGACAGCTAACTGACGGCAGGAATAACTTTGCAACAGCTGGGAGATCCTAGCCGCAAAACAAATGGGACAACAATATATTAACGAATATTTATTTGAAGATACCATCAGTACACAACGTATAAGTATAATTTTGTCTACAGTACTCATGTAGTAAAGTCCAAAGCAAATGCCCAAAGGTCTCCTGGAAGTCCCGGGTGGGGGCGCCATCCATCCTTAGTAGGGACATTGAGTGCGAGCATGTCTCCCTTGGGCGCCAACATACATGCTTTCCGCGATGTACGCTGTAATGAGGGCCACCAATACTTACGAGGATACACATCTAAAATTACCACAGTACACGCCTGAAGGTATTGTTCAAGGAAACGAAGGAGTGGGCCAACCAAAACCAATGGTGGGAAGGCATAAGGACGCTGGAGGTA